ATCGAAATATGAGCGAATCTGATGAATATGCTCTGCTGGAGTAAATTCGTTTAGCTGTTCGTTCTGCATGTATTTACTTCAGAAAAAATATCTATTTACTTCATTATTCTCACTCTTCTTCTTGGCATTCGTGGTGGAAGTTGTTTCTTGACATTTTCAATGAACTGTACATTCTCTTTTGTCTCAACTTCTTTCACTGGCGGGTCAGGGTTCTTTGACTCGGTTTGCTTTTCAATGAAATTCACGAACTTTGCAATAAGCTCTTGGTTCGTTATTGAAAGAACATCTGGCTTCTTTTCTTCTTGTTCTATTGACTTTTCAGTTTGAACAGAAGGTTTTATATGGGCTTCGTGGGCTTCGCCCTTGCCATGCACCTTAATGTTGTCGCTCTCTGTATTCGCTAATGGAACCTTTCTTTTTCTTACATATATTTTACCATCTTTACTCTGACTTACATAATAGAAAGGATGTTGTATTCCTCTGGCGTCATTTAATATAATAGACTCTCGTTCTGATTTTGACAAGCTCATTTTACATCGGTTAAAGTTTTAATTTAGTTTTTTATCTACAGTCAAATGACTCAGACAAGCCCTACGGACAAGACCCAAGGGGTCATAGATGTTGAAGCATTGAAGAAAGAAATTCGTGAGCAAATTTTATCCGAACTGAAGGAACAAAAACAAGAACAAAAGCCAGAGAGACCAAAGAGAAAACTTAGTGAAAAACAACTTGCTGCATTAGCTGCTGGAAGACAAAAGAACCCACGTTTGCTGGCAAAGAAAGCTAGAGAAGAAGCTGAAGCAAAAGCTAAAGAAGCTGAAGCAAAGAAAGAGTAAATGGTTTATTTTTATCCGAACTAAATGTATAGACAAATACCTTTATCTGTTGCGTTCAGTAGTGAAAACCCTGACGTCAAAATAAAGGGGAACAGAGTAACGTTTAAGTTTCCAACAGACTGGATTGTGAACATAAATGAAGAGAAGTACATTGGCATAACATCTATGTATATAACACGTGCTTTCAGAAAGGTTGACTTTATACTTCAAGTCGAGATAGAAAATGACGAACAGTCTTTAAGCGCCCAAAACATTCACATATACAAATACTTTAAAGACGATACAACATTGTTGCAATGTATGATTTCATTTAATGAGATGTTCGAGAAAAAGTTCAACATTGAAGTACAAACTTTACAGCCTTTACGTGAGTTTCTTGCACAACTGAAAGAAGAAGGTAGTCAGCCACAACTTATAGACTTTCATTATGAATTTAATGAAAATGAAGATGGAACTCATGACTGTCAATTCATTGTATTCTCACCATTCAATGAAGTCGCTAAAGAGAAAAAAAATCCATTACGTATAAGGTTTCAAATCTCTGAACCAAGTGATGATTTTAAGAATGTTTTCAATTATGATGCAATGCTTCCGAGGAAAAATGAATTTTCAAAGATTGTAACACCTGGCATTTGGGATAGAAAGCAAGCTATATTATATTCAAACTTAAGTAAGGGAGTTGAAAATGAGTTCATTGGTCATACAAGAACTTCACCACTTCCTAACCCTAAATACTATAAATTAACTGGCTTCAATCGTGAGTTTTGGATAGACATGTTCTCCACTCATGACCATAAATGTCCAGTGTTCTTGCCTCCAGACCATAAGGACTGTCTCTACATTGAAGCACAACTCTTAAACTCTACCATCGCAGTATTGTAAAATCTACGCTAGCTTTATTTTTATCACGAATGACCTCATTGCTGACAAAAATAAATGACCTCAGAACTTCAACTTACGAATAAAGCTTGTTTTAGTCGTTATTGAAAAGTTGAACTTTTCAGCAAAGCAAGGTTGACATGACTTACATAAGTCGAATGCAATCTCTTGACCATCATGAAGTGCTTTGTAAAGTTTCATTAAACTGAACTCAGAGTCTTTGTCATATGTTCCAACAGGTATGTGAATGTTCTTATCTTCATTGTAATAGCATTGTATAGCTTCAGGAAACATTTCATTAGCGGTTAAAGCAATAACATCTTGCTTCACGCCTTTCATTCTGCAGTGAAATGCAACTTCATTTAAATCGTTAGTGAGTAAGTCTATGTAGGTCTTCTTTCCACAGAAAATACTTTTATAAGCTAAACTTTGTTTTCCAGGTGTTATTTCTGCAAAGTCGCTATGAAATTGACCAAGGTTCTTTCCTATAAGTTCGCGACCATATCTCTTCTTAAACTCTGCTGCAAGCTTTGGGATGTCTTCATTATATAAGTGCATACTGTCGGTATCCTGGTAAAAGATTTGAAGTCCCATGTCCTCTGCAGTACAGAATACTTCATTCATAATACGTTTTGACATAGACAGAATATTAACACCAAGTGGACAGAAGTTAAAGTGTCTGCAAATGCTTTTCGTTAGCTTGAAAATAGTTTTATCTGAACCATCCAAACCTTCGAACTTCACTATATGGTTGTAATTTCTTATAGCATATCTTATAGCATCTTTGTCATTTACTATGGTTATTTTTGACTCAATAGGAGATAGAATAGTTTTGCCATAAATGCTGTTCAGAATGAGTTTTATAATTTCTTGTAAGGGTTTCCTTCTTTCTTATACTTTAACCTTAACTCAAACAACTTCTTTACTTCATCTCTTATTCTCATATCTCTGTTTCCATCGTAATAGTATCCTTGCAACACTTCACATTTGACACCTTGATATTTTATGAGGTCTTGTAATGTTATATGGTCAACATACATGAGACAGCAAGTGTTTGAACTTCTTGGAACGTTAAGTTCTGGATTTAGTTCAGGTCGCAAACTATTAAATGAAAGTGTCTGGGTATACCAATCTCTGTTATCTTAATGAGAACAAAGAAGCCAGACATAAACTTTTCACCAATGGGTTCCTTTTGGTCATCATCGAATAAATGTCTCATGAGATACTCTGTGCTTAGCATCTCATCCTTCAATACTTTTGGAATTCCTTCTAAAGTATACAATCTTGCTATAGCTGAAGGATATAATGAAACAGTGTCGAAGTCAGCAATGAGTTTCTTTTTGCTCTTTTGTTTCATGTTATCTGACAACATACATCTTCCACCTTGAATGCATCTCGAAATAAATTCTCTTGGTTTATTTGAGAGGTCATAAAGATTTCCATTCGGGAAGTATACTCTGTTCTCAAACAATTTGTTAGCAATAGAACAAATACTAACGTAGTCATAAACGTTTAAATCAAACTCTTTCAATAAGTCATGCGGAACTTTACAAAACCTTCTCTTAAAATTCTTACATCTTGTTTGCAGTAAAACGTGCTATATTTTTCTAAGTCGAAGTGGTTTTCATCTATTCTGCAACCTTTGATGGAATCTATGTTCTTCATAAATGTATCTGCATCATGGATAAACTTACATGCTTCAGAAATGACACCAGTTCTGTTGTCATTTGCTAACAAAACACTGCTGTAGTAGTTATATGGAAATACTTCTTTCGGTCCTGTTTGTAAGTTAAACATAGCAGGAAATAGTTTAAGCTTCTTATTTATAACACTGTAAGAGTCTTTTATAATAATTGCCCGTCCTTTATATAAGCCAGTTATTTGCATTGTTCGTGAACCTTTAATGATGGGAGTTCCTTTCACTTCTGTCATGTGTCTTAAGATGAAGTTTATGTCATAACTGAGGTTATGGAAATATATTAAACTCTTGTCAGGAAGTCTTTCCAAAAATTCTGTTGCACAGTTTTGACCCAAATGCTTTCACTAACTGAACCATCTTCACTGTCATAACAGATGTTAAAAGCTTTATGAAAGCCATCCGCTACTACACTCAAAGTCAGCAAAGAAAACGTGCTCAGGTATGAATTTACATTTAGCTTTATTTACTTCTTTTGACTCTGCTTTCTTCTTCAGTTGTACACAATACTTTGGAGCATATGTCAAATCTTTAAATGGTGCAAGGTTCTGTTTATATAAGTCAGTAGTATATGTGAAAAGTTCTCCATAAGAAATAGGTTCGAAATATTTGCACTCCCACAATGTTTTCATAACATCCCATAACGGTGTTGTTCTATCATAACGAACTACATATTTATCTTCTCTCTTTGTATAAATCTTCATCTGTTTCTCAATGTTCATTCCACCACAAGCTTTGAGAATTTCTTTATAGTTTCGAATGAAGTATGTTGTCATTGGTAATCTTTCATTTAGCATGTAGTGGTCTTCAACAAGAAGTAAGTCAATAGTTCTAACAGTTTCGCATTCTTTTGGTATATATCTCTTTATTTCATTATGTCTTGAGTCATTGAAATAACCAATGGTAACATTAAATGCTATACCTGTTGCGTCAGAAATTTCTTGTACTTTACTTTGAGGAAAGTCTCTAACACGAATGACTTCTCTCATGTGGTCAATAGTTTCTTCATTTACTCCAGCCTGAATGCAAGCATAAACGAAACAATTGTCCTCTGTCATAAGTGTTGCAGTTCTTTTGTTCAGTTCATTGAAGATTTGGTAGCGTTCAAGATTTATAGGTAATGTGCAAAGATACTTCCAGAACTGACCGCTTCTCTTCTTATAAAACTTCTTTTCACCATTATCTTTCCAAAAGCTTTCTATAAGTGCTGGGTTTCCTGTTTGCTTAAGAGCTTCCAAAATGGCTTTCTGGTCATTTGTCAGTGTGCTTTCATCTCTATATGGTCTCTTTTTTGGTTTGCCTTTCTTTACATCTGACATCGTTAAGCCTTCATATTCTGTTAAATCATACATCTTTATTTCGGTAAGATTCTTTATGTTTGTCAAGAAGAAGTCATAGTGCATTTCAACAATACCTGCAGCATTTGCTTCTATCTCTGATATAAAGTTCTCCTTCAAGAGCTGATGTAGTAATGTTCCAATATTATTGAGGTTTAACGTAGAACATTCATACTTTCCACCAAGTTTATAACATACCATCCATCTCTGTTGTGAGTTTATTTTAATTTTCTCTAAGAGTCTCATGAAAACCTTACCGAAATGTTTGTGTAAGTAGTCTCTGTTTGGTTCATCTAAAGCTTCGATGTTAAAGTCAATGAGTCTATTGCCTGACTTCACATTTCTCTTCCTATTCTCTTCATCTTTCTTTAACCATCTCTCACCTTCTTTTGGTTTGTCGTCAATGGAACGAATGACATCGTTAGCTTTGCGAACTTGTTCTATAGCGCTCTTAAACATCTCTCTTCTCTGTTGTTTCAGTGTGTCGTCTCTTCTTCTTGTTTCACCAACGTTCGCATTTGTTATGTCAAACATCTCTTGACGAACATCATGCGAAAGAGCTTTACGAGTATGACCAACGTTCGCATTTGTTATGTCAAACATTTCTCTTCTTACTTCATGAGGTACTGAACGTCTATGATATAAGTCAATAGCAATGTCATTTAAAGGAAATGCTCTTGCATGGACTTCGTCCTCGCCGCGTTGCGGCTTTATGAACTCATGAATTCTATCATAACTTATTGCACCATTGTAGTCTTTAATGAAGTCAGCGAGTGCTTTTTTGTTTGTCGCGTAATGTTTTGCAACATCTATATTAGCTTCTGTAAGAAGTTGTTTTATTTCCGAGTGTTCTAACTTAGACAACTTCCGATACATCTTTAGTAGGAAATAAAAAAATATTTTTTCGAAAAAATAAACTTAGAAAAATTATTTCTTTATATATTTGCCATTCCGAACTTCGAAAAGATGTTTTATACCAGCATAGAATTTTTCTCTAGAGCTTGGTCTTATATCGTTTTCATGACAATATTTTCTATATTCTTCATATAAAGCCTTTTTTTCATACATTTTATAAGGACAATCTAACCAGAATAGCGCATATCCATTTTCGTTATCTATTCTCGTTATCTCTCTATATGTTTGTGGAATTTCGCTTTCTTCTGTTTGTAGAATTTCGCCTTCACTATTTAGTTCTATGTATATATATTGTGGAATTTCGCTTTCTCTATTTAGTTCTATGTCTATATATTGTGGCTTAAAAGGATGTGGGCAAGAAGGGTCTGGCGCTATGTAAAAAGTTAATTTTTCTGTCATCTTTTCTATCGGATAAAAAATATTTTTTGAAAAATTAGATTACATTTTTTTAAGTTATTTTTCAAAATAATTTAATATTTTTATTTTAATGAAACACATGCAAGATTGCAAGTTCTTTTCATACAATGCTCTCGCTACTGCCATCAAGAATGAGTTCAATGGTGCTTCAAACGTCAATGTTATCTTTAACAAGAAGTTTGTGAAAGAATCTAAGTTCGGTCAGTATGTCAGACCATTAGCTATTGTCATTGACCGCAAACGTTATACTTCACAAGAGTTAGCAGTAGTTTTGAAACAAAAGGGTTTCTTCGTGAATGTCAAAGATACTCATTATACTGTTATAAAGAACTCCAACATTGACTTCTTCAGTATTGCTTTAAATCTTTCCGAACAGAAAGAATATAAGAAGGGTGAAATAAATGTGAAATATTATCCTTCATCTCTGAAGACAATAACGAACAAAGATGTTATACAAAAGTTCTTACCAAAGGTTGAAGAAGCTTCTATTGACATTGACGAAGGAAGTGAAATGGTTGAAGAAATTGACCCTGAAGCTATTTAACCAAAAATATATTTTTGGTGAAGAGGTGAGATTTCACCTGTTTTTTCACCTCATTCTCTCTTCGTTAATGTTGTCGTGACTTCTTCGTTAATGTTGTCGTGACTTCATTCTTCCTCTTTGAAGTTATCGAAATACTCTGTTATTTTTTCCTTTAACAATGGTAAGTCTTCTTTGAATGTAAGTATTGTGCAACCTTTGATGTCATAGTGTGTTTGAGGAAGAGTATTTTTGACAATTTCCTTTATTTGCTCATTCGGTGTCATTGAAATCGGTAAGTTTTCACGATAGAACCAGTTTCTGTCAGATTTGTAAATCTTAGCAAGGTCATAAAAGCTTTTGTTGTTTCTTCTGACTAAATGCAACATAACCATATCTCTGTCTTCTTCATTTTCCATCTCTTCAGCGTAAATCATATACTTATAACTCTTTTCCTTTCCTTTTGGTACTGAACGTGGTATTCTTTTCTGTATGCTTTTGTCTTTGGATTCAATGACTTCATCTTTTGCTTGAAGTTTCTTTTCCATCTGTTCGCGTTCTGCTTTATATAGTTCATCTAACATCATGAAAATATAACAAGCATAACGAGGTGAAGCCCACATTGCTACAGCATTTACTAAAAGTCTATGAACATAATAACCTTTCAAACCAGGTGCCAAATTCTTGCGATTTTCGTACGGAATCTCTTCCCTCGGTTTTCCGAGGGAAGCAATCATATGAGGAAATTCTTCTAAAAGTTCTTTTGCCTGTTGGTTTTCAAACCAATGATATGCTTGCTTTGTAGAACGAAGAGCGTTCATTATACTTTGCATTTGATACATATCATCTTTGACAGAACGAATGAGTCTCAATTGTTTGTTATACTGTATGTATTCGTATTCTTCATTTATGGCTTCATGGACTATAACTGTTGTTGTGTTCTCTAATGTTGACATATCTGTCTTTACATACAAAATAAAAAAATAAATAAAAATAAAATTAGCGTTATTTTTTTCTGAGATAAACACTATTTCTTCACAACATTAAATTTTATCCTGTATGAAATGACTTTAAAAAGATTATTGACTGACTTCGAATACTATCTCATTGACGCACTGACAGACCCTCAAAACTGTGTTGAAAGTTCTTTAAGCTTTAAGATTGAAGGTACGACGCATTTTGTCTTCACTTACGTATTGAAAGAATATGACCGTTATCATAACGAAGTGAATCAAACACTAATAAAATTTGTAGATAAAAAATTGGTTAACAATGAATATTTTAAACGTGAAGACCCAAACACTGCTGGAGATGATGAAGAATACAGACAAGCTATTGAAAAAAATAACGCAAGATTAGATGCAATAGAAAAGAAGTTTAATGAATGTCTTACAAACACGTATGAATATCTTATGCGGTGGGAAGCTAGATGGAAATAAATTTACGTCAAATATGCAATTTATAAAATCTTATGTCGACAGGCTACGTAGCACAGTGGTCTAAGGTGGTGTTATGGAGGGGTCAGAGTCTGTGGTTCGAACCGCGACAGCGCCGTATTTTCTTATTTTCTTTGTTTGTCTTGTTTGTCGTGAATAAAAAGTGTCATAAAAGTGCTCTATCTTCCACGGGAATAAATAAAAAATTTACTTTATTTCTTCTTTATTTCTTTGTTCCCGTGGAAGAAGGGTTTTGCTGTTTTTTCTCAGCCGAAATCAATGATTTTTTCATTTTTGGAATCCTTAGCGAATGAGGAATCTTTTCTCTCGTGGAAGCTTTGAACAAAAATATAATTTAGGTGAAGAGGTGAGATCTCACCTGTTTTTTCACCTCTTTTTTCACCCCAGTTTTTTCACAAGCGTTTTACATGAATTGTACGATGTATATTTGAAATCCTAAACAATTTCGTAGCTTCTATTTCTTCTGTCAGTATGTCAAAAGTTTTAACAATACCGAAGGTTTCTTTATACTTCTTCTTGACGTCAGATAGAAGGAAATCTTCTGCTGTTGGATAGTTTTTGTTCAGAAATTCTAACATGTTCATTTTATCTTCTGCTGGCTTTTCTGCTTCTTTCTTTAAGTCTGCATAGTCGTTTCTCATTCTTTCTATCTCTTTGACTGAGTAGTTATATTTCCTAATTGCTGCCTTACATTTTGAACATTGCGGGTTCATTTTTGCGTTATACATTGAAATAAAACCAGCTAAAACAACTAAGGCGTCAATTGCTCTCTTCATCTCAAACATAGCGGGTCTTATTTGTTCGTTCCATACTTTGCCTCTTCTATCTTTATCTCTTATTTCCCAAACACATTTTGCAACTAATGAAACAAAGTTATCGTAAGTCTTAAACTCCTCAGATTTATATATGTCAGAAATGTTTTTATATACCATGTCGCAATCTTTGTCCATAACCTTATGGTTGCAATGAAAACCAAGGAATTCATAATTTACTTTACGTATGAACTTCTTTATTTCTACTGAGTCAGTTGGTTTCACTTCAATTTCGTCGAATTCAGGAATAGTGAGTTTTTGTTGTTGGATTTCAGGCAATTTGGGTAAATGGTCAATAATGTCCTGCATTTCATAAAGATATTCTTCATTTTCTTCATCTTTCGCACTACAGTCTAAATTACTTGTTAAAAGTTCTTGCTTTATCTTCTGGATTTTTGTTTCGAAAGTATATGAAGAAGGAATGAAGTTTTTCATCTCTACTAACATTGACGTAGGATTCATGACTAACGAGTTTGGTGCTGTTGTTGTGGACAGAGTCCCGCCGTTCGCGGCTTGAATTGTTGTTGTGCCGATTGTTGAAATCATATCTTTTATACAAAATAAAAAAATAAAAAAAATAAAACTAACTTTATTTTTTATTTCGGGAAAATTCATGAAAATTCAAGAGGTGAAAAAAGAGGTGAGAAAACAGGTGAGATCTCACCTCTTCACCTATAATATATTTTTGGTCATTTACACTCATTTACGAAGAAGTCATGACAAAGCATTTACGATGAAATCTTGACAAAGCATTTACGATGAAGTTATGACAAAGCATTTACGAAGAAGTTATGACAAAGCATTTACGATGAAGTTATGACAAAGCATTTACGAAGAAGTTATGACAAATTCAAGAGGTGAAAAAACAGGTGAGAAAACAGGTGAAATCTCACCTCTTCACCTAAATTATATTTTAGGTCATTTACACTCATTTACGAAGAAGTCATGACAAAGCATTTACGATGAAATCTTGACAAAGCATTTACGATGAAGTTATGACAAAGCATTTACGAAGAAGTTATGACAAAGCATTTACGATGAAGTTATGACAAAGCATTTACGAAGAAGTTATGACAAATTCAAGAGGTGAAAAAACAGGTGAGAAAACAGGTGAAATCTCACCTCTTCACCTAAATTATATTTTTGTCTGATTTACATCTAATGAAAAAGTTTAGAAGAATTTTCTTATTCTTTCTGGCATATTTTTGTCTTTCCAGTACTCCCGCTCTAATGGTCCCAGATGTGTTGGCTTCGACTCTCTCAAGTTCTTAGATGGTATAACATCTTCAACGCCTCCTTCATATCTTACTTTATAAGTGTCATCGTTTGTGTTATAGCCAAGTATTTCAATAACCACTCCTCGCTTTGCTTCGTCAATGGTTTCAGCAAGTTTGCCATTACTACTTTCGACTAATTTATGTCGAGGATAAAACGCAATAGAGTCGTCGGCAGCTTTTATAAGATATCCATTACCTTGCGTAGAGTCTACAATATAATAATTTCGACTTAACCTTAAACGTTTCTTTGTCAACGGTTTGTCGTCAAGAACTACACGAACTTTTGTACCAGGAATGAGGGTAAATTGTGTTGAATTTCTGATATTTTGTGTTTGGCTTCGTTTCTTTTGTATATACTTTTCTTCTTGTTGTTGTGTCATTGAATTTGGTGTATGTCCTGTTGTAGAATGTGTTGAGGAATTGTAAACTTCGATGAAATGTTTCATTGTTTCTTCGGTAAAGTCTCGCTCTTGGTTTAAATCTCTGAGAGTCCTTATGAAGCGGTTTATGATGCCGAGTATGTTATGGTTATGGTCTTCAGTAGTGTAGTGAGTTATGTTATGCTTAATGAGAAATTCTGTGATTTCGTTGCTGAGGTATGCACTGTCTTGGTCTGATGTTAAAGTACTTGGGTTATGTTCTGCTACAAACTTTTGTAAAACTCTTAACACTTCACGAGTTCCTTTATTTCTCATTGGATATGCATATGCTTTACGAGTGTTAACATTTATGAAGATGAGGAATGGTTTATGTCCTCCTTTTCTGCTTTGAATGAGAGTGTCAAATTGGTATGCGTCAGGAGTGTTGGAGTAAATTGGTAAAAAGTAGTCGTAAGGGTTTATTTTTGTTTGATGTACAACATTTTTGTCAAAGAACCTTTTCACTTCAGCTCTGTTAGTAAATCCCGAACTCTTTGCAGCTTCATTGAACTTCTTAAATGACCTCCATGGATGTTGTTCGAATACTTCTTTCAAGCTCATTTATGTAAAGTTAAAGATTTTAACCAACTCGTATCCAAGCGTGCATTGTTATATAAGGAGGCATATAATCTTTTCCATTACCTGCTGGGTCTGTAATACCAGCTACAACATGTGTATGATTTCCTGCAGTTCCACAGAAAATACCTGTGCTAACATCTTTGGGGTCATCTGAGATATCATATCTGTTCATTCCCTGTCTATTCGAACCCGCTGCAAGATTTATATAACCTCTTTTTGTTATTGAATGTGAATGGTTTCCTTCCACAGATGTTCTTCCACTGAACCTATGCATATGTGAAGGAAGGTTTTCAATACCTATTTTCTTTGAACCTCCCATCTTCATTGACTGCGTATTAGTGTAGAATGGAAAACTGTCAACTATTTCATACCATCTACCACCAAATAAAGTGTTTGGATTTATTGGATTCATAGACGTATAAACAGCTCCTATAGGATATATTAAATCATATATGCTCATAACTCTATAAACATATTCTAAAGAACTTATGTCATTAAATACCATTTGGAATGTATCTCCCGGATGAAATGTTGCATTTGTTCCACTTTTATAATGTAATGTTAGTTCAATAGAATTATCCAAGAAAAATTCAAAAGTATCTGGTTGAAGACCTCTAACAAATTCAAATGGAGTTGCTGGTTCACCATTTATAATTTCTGTTGTAAATGTCATTGTATCTGGTTTCGAAAATTTCTTTGTTAGTTCTGCATCCACATAAGTTTTATCTGCTTTCTTATCTAACATTGCTGGTAGTTCATGTGCTTCAAAGTTTCTGGCATGATCTTCGGTATTCCTGCAACTCTTATCTAAATTGTTAAGAGTATCTTTTACGCTTGTACTTGGATTTTCTAATGGTGCACTTGAACCAAGGTCAAAGTTCAATATTATGTCGTCTGCTCTAACAGTAGTGAAGGATTTATGTGTATGGTTCTTGTCTGCTTTCTTGTCATATAAATCTTGAGCAGTGAATTTAATATTATGTTCATCCTTCATGACATAAACATCTTTACATCTAATGTTTCTCATCGTCGTTATGTCGTCATCCGATGTTAAACCTTGTGGAAAGTTAGGAGGTTTACAATATAATGCATCCCCACCAGTTTCTTCAACCGTTCCTTCAATACTTTCTATAGCAACAGTTGTGAAGAAATCATGTGTATGGTTCTTATCTGCTTTCTTATCTAACATTGCTGGTAGTTCATGTGTTTCAAAGTTTCTGACATGACCTTCAATGTTCATACATTTGTTATTTAAGGAGTTTAGTGTATCTTTTACGCTTGTACTTGGATTCTCTAAAGGTGCACTTGAACCAAGGTCAAAGTTCAATATTATGTCGTCTGCTCTAACAGTAGTGAAGGATTTATGTGTATGGTTCTTGTCAGCTTTACTGTCTAAAGAAGTTTGAAGTTCATTTATATCGGAGATGTTGTGTTTATGAGATTTCAAAACTTTGTTCGTTGCGTCAAGTTCATCTTTGTCAGCTTTACTTTTAATAGCATCTTCAAACGTTATTTTTGACTTAACTCTCAAAGTAAATCTTGGTTCAACTAATACACCATTAACATTGAAAGTAGAGGCATAAATTTCACCGGTATAACCAAATGCTTCTGGTGCTTTAGCTACATCATACTGTACAGTACAGCTTATGTCATAACCTTTAGCACGAATGTATTTATATCTTCTTTCATTAACATTTTTTGTCTTCGCTTCATCACTTCGTGTTAAATATCCATGGTAGTCCGTTATAATCTGTTCGTCTGAAGTTATATAATGAACGTGGTTTTTATCTGCTTTTTCGGCTAATTTCTCATTAACATCATTCACTTCTAATTCAACTCTTCCGCCAGAACTCTTATTATCATTAATCTTTTTCATTAATTCGGTAATTACGTCATAAAGACTATATTCTGTTTTCGGTTTTGTAAATAATGAGTCAAAATTTCTTTTCATCATTACATCGCTGACATTAATGATATCACCAATTCCTTTTTCATTTATTCTCTTCATTAATTCTGCAATAATGACGAATATATAATCTGTTAATTTATTCTCTTCATCGAGGGTTATAGAATGTTTTGAAATTGAATCATTAACTCCTCTAAATAAATCAATAACTTCAGGATACACGTTTTTAATGTCTTGAATAACCCGACCAGTATCCTCGCCACTATGTGGCTCTGAGCCCGTTGGGCTCTGTTGTTCATGTTCTTCGTTCCCGTCGTTACGTGGTTTTATATCTCTAACCATCATCAACGCAGCCATAACCGGAGGGTTTGTTGCTACCTGTTCGAAAATCCGTCCGTTATGTACGGTATATCTAAATAATTTCTTTGTGTTTGTTAAAACATTTGAAACAAGTCTTTTAAAACCATCTACAAAATTTCCTGTTTCACCTAATGTTCTTGCAGCATTTACAAGCTCACCCATTCCCGCTTTTGACCCCAAAAACGTCCATATTGCATTTATTTCACTCTGTATAGTTGTCCATTCAGCGAAACTAACACCCGCATTCGCTAAGCTGAAAATGAAATTCAGTGGATCGAACTTAATTCCACCTTCTTTTTCAATTTCAACGAACTCACTAACATGAGATTTTAAATATTCTTTCGTTAAAATTGTTTTCCCCGATGTTATGTCATTAACGAAACTATCACCGTCAAAAGTTAACGAATTCAATTTCGTCGTTGATGCTTTTATTTCATACACCGCTTTATCGATAGTTTTTGGCTCACCTTCTTTAGAAGCATATGAAACATTAATGAATGAATTATATGTATTCATGAATGAGTTAAAATCAATGATTTTCATTAATGAAGCCTTTAATGATTCATTAACTGTTGAATCCCTTAAAACAATTACTGAACTGTCATGGGCTTCGCCCTGGTCGCTTCGGTCTGAAAGACCTTCAGGACTCAAAGAGTCCGTTTGCGACTTTATGAAAGGTACACTGCAAACCGTCGAGTTTGGATCAAATGCTGTAGTTGGTGCAGGAATATTAATGATATAAGTCATTAAATCATTAAGTGACGTAAATAATGTTGTCGTTTTTGATTTAATTTCTTTAGCATCTGTTATATATGGTAATTTTATTTCTGTAGTTTCTGAATTAAAGATATTCGCTAAAATGTTTTGTAAACTGTTTTGAACAGCTGTGTAAACCGTTGAATCCGGAACTCTTACGATTTCACCATCCTTAATAAAAGGCATTGTACATGGCGTAGTGCTTGGGTCAAATCTTTCGGGATTATAATTCAACATATATTCTAACGC